CTTGCTGGAACTCTGCCTGCCCAACACCCTAAATGGTCTCTTGACCCTGAGAATTGTTGATACAAATAAAGTCCTCTTGATAAACAGCTGTTTATTATACATAGATGAACGTCACTGGAATTTGTTTCTCTGGACAACCTGGCTTAGCACACACAGTAACTGAGAATTTAGAAATCTCAAATGTGTAGCTAGTCTTAAAAAGGTAAAACACTCATAGAGTTAGCTTGATTTGGCAGGTGCACTGAGTCCTTACCGAAGACCATTTCTTTTCCTTCAAAGAACTGTCAGCTAAGCAGTGGGCTCTAATCACAAGATCAGCAATTCCAACCCGCTCTGGGGGAAAGATGGGACTACCTCATCGATGTGAAGATTGACAGCCTTAGAAATCCTACAGAGAGTCAAGAAGAGTAGCAAGGACTCTATGGCTTCTGTTAAGCTTTCAGATTTGCTTGTGTATCAAATTTCAGCTTTAACATTAATATTTTCTAAGATACACCATTTTGATGTTCAAAATGAAGAATGACAATGTGCACTTTTTGTGTCCCTCATGGCCTATACGTTTAACGTGCCATTTATATGGGTCTTATAAATGCTGGTTCCTACTTTTTTTCCTCCACCATAACAGTTATTTCCTTGGAAAACCAACCCCAAACCAAATTCACTGTCATTAAGCTAAATCCATCAGAGTGATCCTATGGAACACAGGAGAACTTCCGCCTTTTGGTTTCTGGGCCTGTAAATGTTTACCTGAGCCAGAAATCTCATCTTTGTCCCACAGTGAGGCTGCTGGGTTCAAATCTCTAAACTTGAGATTAGCAACCCAAGTATTATCTACTATTCCAGCAGTGATCCCTTCCTTAGAGAAAGAAACCAGGAGATTCATACCTTTCCACCTTAGCATCTAGCACAATATTTAACACAAGGTCCAAAAATCAAACCAAACTGCCAATGGGTTGATTCACGGAGATAGTATCTGACAGGCCAAATCTGCCCGGATGGGTTTCTGAGACTCTGTATGGTAGTAGAAAGACTAATTTTCTCTATGTAACTCTGTATGGGAGTAGGACGCTTCATATTTCTCCCTAACACAAGGTAGTCTTGGAAAAAGCTAGTAGAATTTAGTTCAATTAAATTATATTGGCATTTGGAGTTAATTTATTTGATCTAACTTTAACTATAATATGATAAATGTGTTTTCCTCTATTTCAGTGGCTCTCAACCTTCCTAATGCCACAACCCTTTAATACAGTTCCTCATATTGTAGTGACCCCCAACCATAAAATCATTTTCCTTGCTACTTCATAACTGTAATGTTGCTACTGTTATGAATCATAATGCAAATATATGATCTGCAGGATGTATTTTCATTGTTGCAAATTGAACATAATTAAAGTATAGTGAGGAATCACAAAAAAACAGTAATTATATGTTGTGAAATATTAATTTCTAATTACAAATAGACGAAATTTTGTCTTGAAGCATGGTGTAGCATGGTCTTCACTTTGGGCACCGCTATGTGGGCGTATCTGCAGGTGGGCAGACCCACCTGGCCTGGATAGAGGAGCGGTGTCTCGGTTCTTAAGACCATCAGAAATATGTGTTTTCCCATGTTCTTGGGTGATCCCTGTGAAAGGGTCGTTTCACCCCCAAAGGGGTCTCAACCTACAGGTTGAGAACCATTTGCTCTGCTTGGTCACAACACCTGGCAGGCTTAAGAAAGTCCAACAGGTTACAAACAATATATATAGTAAAATTAAAACTGATGGCCAGCAATAATACTAAGCCCATTCTTTCATTTGATCTTTTGAGAGTTATTATGGAACTCAACATAGGTGTGATTCTAGTAGCCAAGATACTCATAACTCATTATAATTCTGTTTTCAAGGGGCAAGAAACCATTGAATGAAATAGTTCATTATTTTTAAATATATATTTAAATTGAAGAATTGATTTATTTGGAAGGTCTTAAAATTATGAATTTTTATGTCATGAGTTTTAGAAAAGTTGATTTTTTTTATTGGAGATCATTTTAAAAGATAATTTTATTGGGGGCTCATGCCACTCATCACAATCCATACATCCATCCATTGTGTCGTGCACATTTGTACATCTGTTGCCCTCATCATCCTCAAAATATTTGCTCTCCACGAAAGCCCTTGGTATCAGCTCCTCATTTTCCCCATCCCTCCCTGCTGATTTTTAATTGTTAAATAAAGCATATTTGGTTTCTTCTGCTTTGCCACCATCAGACACAGAAAAATGTGTCTCTATTATTTTTCCAGTTCTGGGGGATTATACATTTTAATCTAGTTTTATAATTATAGAAAGTTAAAGAAATGTAATAAGAATAGCCAAATAATAACCACAGTGCAACAGCTCTCAACCATCGCTATATCTTAGAGTAGCAGATGAGAGTCCATTTCCTCTCCAAAGCTTCCCAAAGATTCAAAGATGAGAGTCCATCTTCAAAAAAATTAAATGAGTCTCTCAAAGTAGATCAGATAATAATTGGCTGTATTGATAATAGAAATAAAAGAGCTCTGATTTCTTTTAGCATTCTATTCTGATTTTATTCTAGTACTTTATAAAATTTGAGTTGAAATTCTATTATTAATATTGAACACCATATGGTAAACAAATATATTTTAAGTTATGGTTTTATGAAAAATCATTCTTTGGCACATCTTCAAAAATATTCTCAGTGACCTAGATTATTTCCAGAAAGTGGCACCTTTCTTTACTACTAACCTGATTTCTTTCTTTCTCTCTTCAGCAGGGCAGTCGGGCACTCTTGTTGACATGTGAAAAGAGAGGCAAACGTTCCACTTTGCAATTGAATCATGTTGGCTTTATTATTATAATAGAATACAATATGACATAAAATTAAGAGCTTTTGCTAAACTCAGTAGAGCAATACATGCATCTGCCATAAACCACCTCAATTCATGTTTGGTTTTATTGCCACTTCACTGCACCAAAGTGCAATAAACATTCAGTGTCATCTTTGAAAGAAAATCTGGTTGTAACCAGGAACTGTCCTCTATAAGAGAATCTTTATTCTCAAGGAAGATGTCTCTTCTATCACATGGTTTAGCAAAGCACTGTAGAAAAGCTACATAGATAATTGGTCTTTGATAAACGGTGCAATCAATTTATACAATAGAATGCTATTCACATATACTAACAAACTGAGAGATGATAGATATGCAGTTTTTGCATAGCAGAAAGCAGACTAAGAAAAAATATTCACATCTAATGTTCAGAATACCGACTAAAAGCTAGCCAGGAAGAGTTTGGGAGATATGCGCTCAATAACACATCAGGTTAACGCCGGAAAAGAACAAGATCAACAGCAACACAGAATTTAGAGCCGTATTTTATTTTATTTTCTATACATAATATCTACACATGGTACGAGAGGATGAACCATTCCTGATTCAGCCTTTATTGTCTTAATTTTATAACCTTAGGCAGAACCAAATCAAGCAACAAAACATTTAAAAGAAAAATGAGTTTGTTTAAGAAAACACAAATGGTATATTGTCCTCTATCATTGGATAGCAGCTTTTTGAGAGGAAAATAGAAAATTGCTTAAACCATAAGTATGGATCCCAACTGTCTTATTTGGTAATTATGCTAAGAGGTTTATATCATAATGTTCTAAACATGTGTACACCATGACCTTGGATTCTGAATGCTAAATCTAAATATCTGTTTAGCTCTATCAGACAAAAGGAGACTTCAAAAAATACTTTCTGCATAAATAGTTATCTCTAAAACACCTGGGCAGAATGAGACAGAATTTTTCATAGGGAGTATTAATGGACCTCTTATATTTAAAGCCCTTACATAGTTTACCTACGAGTATATTGCTGCAGTATAAATGAAATGTAATAATATTACTCAAAAGCTATTATCTGTACATACTTTCATGTGATTTTTTAATATTTAATGCTACATATGTTACACTGCTTATTGAAACAGTATTGGCAAATAGAGCAGTAATATACAGTTAATATTCTCCAACAAATGCTTCTCCATTTTCTTTCCATATTAAATAACGTAAAGTCGAGAGATGCTGCATGACTTGAGTAGATAGCAACTGATATACTACTGGACACCAGTTTGAAATGAGAAGCTTTTTTTATGCAAGTGGCTTTATGCTCATATATTTTAAGTTCCTTCTGACAATTACGGGCTGTTCTGTTCTTAAATGCAGGCTCTAAATGTATTTCCACAGCATTTAACAACATTCTAACAGCTAATAGCGGTGAGTCTTGCACAATATTTTAAGAACACAATTTAATAAACAAACAAATAAAAAGTTAAAAATGTACAATCTCATGCTGTATATTTACATATTTAATTTATAGATTCTATTTTTTATTTGCTAGTCATAAATTTTAATCTAAAACTTTTAATGTATTGTATATAAAAGAATACATTCAACAATTCTAGAGTTTGCAAAATATTTTGCCCTTCTGAAAACATCTTCATAGTAGGAATCACGTGGTTACTGGACCCATGTACTAACTAGAAATAAGATGACAAAAGGAATTTTAAAAGGTTTTTATAGAGTATTTTAACTTATGTTATTACATTAATTGTTATTGAAGGTATGTCTTTGTTAAAACAACTGATCAGGGAGACCAGTGGTAAAAGCTCAAGAGACAGTGAAAAATGCCTATGTAAAGCATATCTGTCCATTTTGTTAAAATGTGCTCTACAGTGATGGGCTGCACCTTTGCATATGGAAATTCCATGAAATTTAAAATGGCATTTAACAACAAAATAATCGTATTAGGCATTTTAAAACAGATAAAAGTATGGGTATTTTCTTTGAACTTTGGAAACAAAATGTTAAAGCTAAACATCATTTTAAAGGGAAAAAAAGAATAAGCACACCATCGTCTGTGCAAGAAATACATAGATTTTTTCTTTTTCTTCATTAAACATTTAGATTTTATTCTCTTAAAATCCTCACATAAAAATATTTTGACATATACAGTGTCTTTTTTAAAAGAATACTTGGAAATATATATCTACAACTGACCTAGGGATTATTGTAAGTTTTCTTTTTCTTGTACTTGTTTTGTCGACCCTTCTTCCCTCTCCTTTCCTCTCTATGTCTCCTTCTGATGGGATTTGCTCTCCTCTTCCCTCCTCTCAGAATCCTGTCTCTCAGTGGTGTTCTCTGCTCTTCTCGGGACTACCAGACAGGGGTCTCTTGTTCTTTTATTTATGGAAATAAGGAAACCTTCACATTCTTTAAGACAGAGGAAACAAAGCGGATGGGAATTGCTGCATTGAGAACAGAAAGCAATTCCCAGTGCAGAGGACTGAACAATAGAATATGACTAAAAGTACCTATTGATGCGGAGTAGGGGCTTTTAGCTGAGGCTCTCTGTTTAAATATGTAGCCCAATAGACTAAATTAAAAATTCCAAATAGCAGTGGGAAAGCTATTCTTGACAGTCGGTCAATTTTGCTGACACTATTAAAGGTTTTCTTGGGTTCTGGTGGTTTAGTTTCAGGCTTGACTTCTTTTGGTTCGATGGTTGCACTTTTAGCAATGGTGGCTAAGCCAGGGTCACCCCGGGCCAAGTTAGGGGTATAGCTGGTTGCAGTTGGAGCATAAGTGTTGTTTTTCTTAATAAGAGGATCTTTCACTTTCTTTGGCTGTAGGGGGAAAGAGGAAAGAATTGTGTTAGTAAAATGTAGGAAATGATTATACGTTACTGAACAAATGGTCTCTTACTTTGCAACCAAAAAAACTGCACTTTCTTTGAAATTGAGGAAGTGTAATTTAATTTAATTGGTATAAATTGAGACTATGGACATCACATTTTTGTTTTTTTGTTTTTTAGATTTCCCACCAAGAGATGGCATCTATTTCCTCAGGCTTTTATCTAGACTGAGCTGGTGTCTTTTATGGGGTGATACTGTGAAAATTCAGCATCTTCCCATTAACAAGTGGTTTAGTCTGAGCCTTTGGGCTCCTATTATATAAAGGAACGCGGCATGTACAGAAGTCCAATCAGTGCTACGGAAAGACCAGGGCACATGTGCCGTGTGAGATCCAGCTGAGAGCACACATCTGACCCCAGATTTGTGAGAGAAGCCGTCTTGGACTACCCAGCCTCGTGGAACCTCCAGCTGGCCATGCCACTGTAGAGCACAGATTGGTCAACGGAAGTGCCATGAGGTTGTTGTCAGACTAGAATGCAGAACCACAAGCAAGTGGTTTGTTACTGTTTGGGCCAATATGTGATTGCTTTGTTTGTTTTGTAGGAATAAGATTTCGGGACAACTATCATTTAATCCTTCCAGATTTCTTCAATTTCAGTACACATAAACATACAAGGAGCGTTAAAAGTTTGTAAACTTTCCCATTATCTTTTAGCTCCATTTCCATATTTGTATGAGTTCACTGATGTGTAGTGTGTGTGTATGTGTGTGTATGTGCCTCCTTATCTCCAGGTTCTGAATTCTCATATTTAACCAACTGCAGCTTGAAAATATTCAAAAGAAAATAACTCAGTTAAGTGGTTAAAGTATTCCCTCAAAGGCTAAAGGGAAGCATAAAGTGCTAATTATAGAGCATTTGTATAACTAGTTATTATAAGTCATCTAGACATTATTGAAAATATTTAGAGGGTATGTATAGGCACAAAATGAAACAATTTTATATAATCTTCCTAGCATATTGATCATCCTAGCATTTCAGTGGTGATTATGCTAGAGTCTTGACAAATGTCCCATGAATATTGAAGGAAGATGGTATATGGATGTAGAATTATATAAAATATAAGTATAGGTACGATTATGAATATCACTATATTAAAGGTGTGATTATACATATAGCTATAATCACATTATCTATGTACACTAAAGGTAGTAGATTATAGATTAATAGAGATTAAAATATTTTCTTGGTTATAAAGCACTGGAATGAATGATACAGGCTCAGAGATTAATATAATCTGAACAATGAACTAACCAATACATTGGTCAAATTCCATGCTATGTAGTATAACATCAGTTCACCTATTAATCATTATCCACTGACATTTATACATGGCAAGGGCATCAGTTTTCATCATGTGCAAGACTGCTTTAAAATAGAAAAGCAACTTTTCCCCAAATTAGCACCTCCTCTCACTAAATCTAAGAAATGTTATTATTTTAGTGGTTTATTATCCACAAAATTTAAAGCCGGAAGACTATAAAGCTACATCTTAAAACTGAGAGTGTCTTAGGATCACCTATCTTCAGGATTGGCTCTCTCTCTTTAAGATTTCTGCCTCAGGACAAATGGAGGTCATCATTGCTCAGAAAAATATCTGGCACTAGCTGCATTCCACCCTTCCACCTTCTCTCCTAGTGCTAAATGCAGTCTCTTACTCTTTTTTCACGGCCCCTGAGTAAAGGTCTGGAGTAACACATTCAGATATATCTAGTTTTCACTGTCTTCAAGCATCTCTCAAGGCGTGGCAAATGTTGAGGGATTACTAGTTTGGACATCTGGGAGCTGTGGAGCTTTCTTTGCTCTAGCTTCATTTGGAAATCACTGGAGAATCCAAATAATTTAACTGTGACTGATGAATACTTCTGAAAAAGATGCTTTTACTTAACTTTATATTTCTTAGTTATGCATAAAATGATACAGCGTATATTTAGCATATTGAATGTGATAGATGTTACTTCCCCAGATTTTCTGTTACCAAATGTATTTGAGTAACAGTGTTTATACAGTGGTATAAACACAGTTAAAACTATTGCTTTAATACAAAGCTTCTCCGATACCTTAAACTGTGATGTTATGGATCTGTATGAAGTGTCATCCAATTGTATGGCTATTTAACCACAAAACTGTATTTCCGGGACTGTCTTGTGACTAATACTCTATTGGATCAAACTTGGGAGAAACAGTTGCGTATGTAGTTAGAGCTCTTGGATCATTCCAGAATTCTCAACGTGTGTGTGTGTCCCTGAGTGTGCCCCTCTTTTCTCAGTCCTGAGGCTTGCCTCTGTCTCGACAGGCTTTCTCTTCAGGACCCCGAAACAGAAAGACCTTCACGACTGTGACTTAGAATCCACACTGTGAGATAGGTTTCAACGAAAGAAAACTGCTATGCTTTGGACCTAATTATTTTCTACAAAGAGGAATTTCCCTTTTATTTCTGTGTGTTTTTATCCCTGAAGCAACTCTCTATTGTGGAAATAAAAATGTATTCCCTGCCCTTGAGGTCACAGGAAATCAGATACTGTATGTGGTAAACTGAATTCAATTGAGACATTATAGTGGCACTAATGATTAAAGTGAGTAGGCTTGCAGAACAATGAAAACTATGATGTTTCAGTTATTCAAATTATGATATGTTTAGTAAATAACAGTTTTGGGTAAATTCATCTGCTCCCAATGTCAAGTTTAAACCTGTTCAAAATTGACAGAGACTACAGGAAAATATTTTTGTGGAAAATTATTTAGTGTCTCATCACGGTCTTCTCTATTTTAAATATCTAATCATTCAAACTACCTCTCCCTTTAAGAAAAACAAAATTCTCATAGCAAACAAACATGCATGGCATCATGCAAACTGAATTCCAATTATCCTCTCGCCGAAAGCTTCATCTAATCCTTCAGATATAAAATGTCCTTTTCATCGGATTAAGGAAGCGTAGTAATATTTCTCAGGGTCTTTGAAAACATTTACCTTTTCTGGCACCACGCTTTTGCCATCCCAAGCGTAGCCTCTCTTGGTGAAATAATTTACGGTGGCAAACTCAATCAGAGCTGAGAATACGAAGGCATAGCACACAGCGATAAACCAATCCATGGCTGTGGCGTAGGCCACCTTCGGGAGGGAATTTCGGGCACTGATACTCAAGGTTGTCATGGTCAGCACAGTTGTTACTCCTGTAAGGAAGGAAAGTGACCGAATCAGTACTTTTCATATTACAAAATGTCATTGCTGAAGATGGGTCTACAAGTATTTTGCCCCCAAAGAAACTAACCTTACCATGTAGACTATGGTTTCTAGTTTGGTCCATTTTGGTTTTGAAGGTAGGAGCTTTAAGTCCAGTATAGTTAAGGGCTTTTCATGTGTTATTTTTAGAGGAAAAATCTGAAAAGATAAACTGTTATCCAAAAGCTAATAATAAAATAGTGAGTTCTTTTCATTGAGGTTCTTGATAGTTGTGTGCTGGTGGAAAGGAAACAAGGAAACACACCTCACTGCTCCCACTTCTATAAACGGAAGCCTCTGCATCCTCGGCTCTCTTCAACACGGCGTCCGTGACCTCTGAGTGCGGAAAGCACGGAATAGCAGGGGGGTAAGTGATGGTGTGTTTGGGGGATGGCAACCATGAGGTGACATGAAATGTGTAAAAATTATTGTATGTAAAACATGTATTTTTTGTAAACCTTTACCTAATTTAAATTTATCTCAGCAGTTAGCTTTGCTATTAATTTTCACATACTATTATTACTGCTTCTAAACTATACTGTTAAAGAAATTACTTGAATAACTATATATGAGCAAAAGGTTTTTATATAACTTATTCAGCAGTAGAAAATACCAAATTTGAATACAAGACTTTTTGATTCAAATAATCAAATTTTTCTTATATAAATACTCATCACATTAATAAAATTAAATTATCTTACCTTTTTATAAATGCCTCATCTTTCCTACTCTAGAAATCGGTCCCTAATGATTAATATTACCTCTATTCCAAGCAGCTTTCAAGTCAGTCTTGTTTCATTTATTTAGATAATGACATGTAGGGATGTGAGCTTACATATGAATGCTAGTATCCATTAATGATTTTATTTACAATCTTCATTCGGTTAACTTACTATGCACACCATAGTGTACAAAGGGCAAAGTTATAGAGTTGGAAGTTTCCATTTTCATAATTATGAAAAAGATAGTTTACCATGATCCTTGTAGCTGCATCCTTTGGGGAAAAAAACTTGACCTCTTTGAGTGACTAGCTCCAATTCGCCCCTTTGCTGGCTTTATCTATGGTTAGATATGTTCACTTCTCAAACTCTCCGTCAGAGAGAGCGAGTTCAACATGAACTAAGATAATTCAAAACAATGGTTAGCACCAGTATTAGTAAGTGTGTAAATATTATTATTGTTATTGAGAAATTCAATTTGCTTTTTTTTTTCATAAATCTTTGCTATCATGAATCCCCTTTTCCAATTTTGATTTGAGTAGGCAGTGTCAGAAGCAATTTGGGAATGGGTATTCTTAAACCAAAATTATACACAAATTAAAAGTTGTTAAAAAACAGTCTTAAGAGGTGCCTGTGTGTATTGTAGTACAATTCTGCTACGAAGTAGTAGAAGAGAACACTAATTTATTGAGCAGCTATTATGTTCCAAGCTTTGGCTTGACAATTTATATATTTTATTTTTATTATTTAGTCTGCCAAACATCACTATTTCACTTTCATTTACAGGTGAATTTACTGGAGCTCAGAATTATGAACTATTTTGTTGGCCAAGGTCATAAATTGGTTATCTAGCTATTGTTAGGTCAATTCCCATACATACTAATCTCCTGTGTGAGGGTGAAAAATGTGCTTCACAGGATCTCAAAGGTTAATAATTCTTAACTGGATACTAGACCTTCTTCTGAGTGTGCTCCAACTGCCAAACTTAGTTAATACCTGAGAACATTCACTGTTTGCACAACCTGACACTCCCTTGCAAAACTGGACAAACCTACCACTGTATCTGGTTACATGGGCACATGGGCTTCAAGCACAAAGAGAGTATGAGAGGTCGAGAACAGGATGTTTCCATTCTTTAAAAGAGACTTCAGCTTTGTGGAATTCTGGATGTTTTTAAATACATTATTGAGATATATAACGTTTTTTAATATAGGCTTCTTTCCCTTTCTTCTTTTTTATTTCTTTAAATATTTGTGACCCACTTGGACATCTCACAGAGCTCAGAGGAAAGTGCTGAGATCAGACTAAAATGATAGGAAACATGTTCTAAATAAATGTTAAAAGACTAAAGTTCTAAGAAAATTGTATTTGTGACTTTGTTCAGCTCAAAAGATTTGAAACATGTATCACAGGAAAAAATCGCCAGAACTGAGTTTAGAGATATATAGTTACGTTCATCAAAAGGGCATGAGTTGACTGAGGTATAAGATCATTGAAAATGCAAACAGCAAGATTTTTGACTTATAAAATACACTGGAATGCTTTACTGAATTTTCAGTCCACAAGAGAAATTGATTACTTAAAAATATACATATTTCACTATATTTCTTGGCTACCTAATTAAAATACAAACAACATAAACAAAGAATTGAATATGCTCCATGTTCGAAATTGAAGGCACTCTCATGGCATAATGAAGTAAACATTATCCTGCTAACTTCCAAGTAAGTGAGTCAAAGACTCCATCCGCTGTGGGGAAAGAGGAGGCTATATTTTCCCTTCAACATTAAACGATCTCAGAAACGAAAAGGAGCAATTCTACTCTGCCAGACAGGGCTGCCACAAGTAGGAGTAGAGTCAGTAACAGTGGGTTTCATTTGGGATTTAGGAACCCCGGTGGTGTAGTGGTTATGCTTGGCCTGGGCTCTATGATCAGCAGTTTAAAACCACCAGTAGCTCCGCAGGAAAAAGGCTGGGCTTTCTACTCCTGTACACAGTCTTGGTAAACCACACTTCGAATCAGCATTGGCTCAATGGGAATGAGCGAGGGAGGGAGGGAGGGAGTAGAGCGCTTACACTAGACACACGTATAGGAGAGAAATATGTGAGAAAAATATGAAAGATGTGAGTACATGTGTGAAAGAATATAAATATAAATATGAAATATATATAAATGTCTACATATATCTTATACATTCATCACACGTGCACACACATGTATGTGTGTGTGTGTGTATATATATATAAATAATTTGACCAGAGTTCAATGTTCAATTCTAACAGAAAGCATGTTGTTTTCATCTAAGCTGAGCTATCCTTAGACTCTCAAAGATTTGGTGGCTTCCAGATCAGAAGCTCTTTATCAAATTCTGAAGACAACACAGCTGTCTTCATACTTGCATTTGGTTCTGCATTTTTATTCCTTGCTCAACAACAGTTTTTTCTAAATTGTATGCTTGCTAAAAGTCAGTTGACTCAATGACATTCTGTTTTTGATATTTTAAATAGTATTATTATTGAATCAATGCACATTTCCAGCTTTGACTATAAACAATCTGAGTTGTTTTGGGGTAAAACAAGGTCTTTCAAAAAGCAGGTGTCTTATTGATATTTGTGGCATGCATCTTGATAATTGCTCTTTTCACCAATAAATAGTTAATAATATATTTTAAATGAATGATACTAACCCTAAGGGCCCCATCTTCTCTTTGGTGACTGCAGTAACATCAAATTGGATAGAAAATTCTATAGAAGGTAGAATCTTCATCAAAGGGGCAGTATATGGAACATATTTTTTAAATCCAGGATGTATTCTCCTAAGACTGAATGAACCTCTAAAGCTATTTCTCTGAGATTGTCCTTTAACCTTAAACCTTGAACCAAAAGCGATCTCCTGGAGTTTTCTTTGAAACAAATAACACCCTGCCATAGAGTTTATCCTCATTCATAATGAACCTGTAGTACTGCCCATTAGTTTCCAAAATTTTAAATCCTTACAGAAGCAGACAGCCTTGTACTTCTTCATGGGTTGCAGCTAAATGTGGAAGCCACTATGTCACCAGGGCTCCTGACACAAATAATCAAAACTAATAATCCAAATTTACTATCATGAAGTAAATTTCAACTCATACTGCCCCATAAGGCAGAATAGATATGACACTCTGAGTTCTGAGATTTCAAATCTTCACAGGGGTATAGAAACTCATCTTTGCTCTGTGGAGCTACTGTCGGGTTAGAAACACTGACTTGGTTAACAGCACACTAAGCTACTAAGGCTCCTTGCCTTAATTATTAAAATATATCCACCTTGTTCTTTTAAAGAATTATGTATATGAGGTGAAATTGACAATAGCAATTCAAGAGATCCTCTGAGAAGAATAGTTATAATAATTTATATTTATGGCGGTGGAATAAGTTGAAAAAGACTAGTAAGATGGCTGTGCAACTTGAATTATGGAAACAATGTCAATGAACTGTAGATGTAGACATTGTTGGAATGGCATATATTTTTCACTGCATAGTTTACACAAGAAGTATATGAAGGAAGTTAAAAGAAACAGAAATGGTGGATAGTATTTTATGAAGGATGTAGAATACAACGTTGTACCTCTGTCTCACTACTGACTCCTTTCCACAGTCGTTTCTGACCTTAACAGAATTTCTTAATTGTTTGTTCCTTAGAATTTAGTATTTCCCAAAAGAGAAAACGTAGTTGTATCTAACATCTTATTTAGATTTCAATTGGTATTATAAAAGCATTTACTATTATCTATAATTTTTGCTATTAAAAGTTTTAAGCTCTGGAAGGCAACTTTCAAAGAAAGTACTTTAGGTTTAACTCATTGTGGTATTTCAGTGATCATAGTAGGATGCAATAAAAAATTAATTTATCACAAATTTTACCGTGGTCAATTTCCCCCTGAATTTCACTCTGAAAAGCACAGCGGAAATTATGTATTTAGAGGTAGGCAGAAAATATCTCTTCATATGAAATACAAACTTCTAAAATAATACATTGAGGGGTGAGCTTTCCCAGTACTAACTTAGCATTTGCTACTTATTCAATCTTGCATTATATACTTTAGTTTGAACAACCTTTCACTCATTCACTCATTGCAATGGAGTCCGTTCTGAGTCAGATACTTACGGGACAGAGTAGAACTGCCCCTTGGGTTTCTGGGACTGTACGTATTTAAGGGAGCGGAAACCTTCATTCATCTTCCTCTGGGAGAGTGGCTGGTGGGTCCCAGACTGCTGACATTTTGGTTAGCAGAATAGTGTGTAACTAACTCAATAGCAGGGCTTTTTTTTTTTTGATAACTCAGGGCACTTAAAGTATTTCCTTTTTCCTGGGGAAAACTACATTTGCAACCCTTTGTTGTGCTTCTGTAGTTAATGGCCATAGAGTGGACCTATCTTTTGCAGAGTAGAACTGTCTCATTGAGTAACTCATTCTGAACACACTCTAGGTTAGGTAAAGTGAAGTATTCATCAGTTTTCCTATTTAAGGAAGCCCTACTTATTTTACAAATTAGAAGGTAGATGTGTTTATAATTTATAACATTCTTAAAAATGTACTGATACACGATTTCGTCTTCTAAGCATATGAAAGGGATATTTATTAAGATATCTAAGTGTGTGTGTTTTCAACTAACTCGCTCTCATCAAGTCCGTTCTGACTCACGGAAATTCTATAGAACATAATACAACTGGTTCTGACGCTGTACATTTTTACTGGAGGAGAAAACCTCGTCTTTCTCCCGAGGGTGGTTGTTGGTTCCAGACTTCCATCTTCTGACTCGCTGTTAGCAACTCAACCCTAACCCACGATGCCACCAGAGGCCCATTTTTCAACCTGGTATAAAGCATTTGCGGCCAGTTTCAGTGTCTCTCCCAGAATAACCAAATCAAATGATCATGAACTCAATGAATTTATATGCATTAGAATCGCTTTTTATTTTAAGCAAGTATGTGGATTACCCTTTTTACCTATCCATTAGATTGGCAAAATGACAGAAAAAAAACTTGCATCCGAGACTCTTGCCTGTACTTGTTGATTTTCACTTACCAAAGACAGTTCTTGCTGGTACAGACTCTCTGTTGAGCCAGAATGACACTTGAGAGAGAATAACGGTCATTATGCAAGGCAGGTAAGTTTGAATAACAAAATAGCCAATCTTTCTCTTCAAGTGGAAGTGAGTAGTCATCACAACATATTCTCCTAAAGGGAGAAACAGACAGGAAGGTTTTCAAAGATTTGACCTTGAGAAGGAGTGTCCTTTGAGGTTTTCAACATTAGCAGCCAAACCTTGGGCGTTGGACATTCTTCTCCATGAGGGGTCTGATTCCCGGAGAGAAGAGAAACATTAATACAAACCAAAATGGCTCTGGCAAGAAGAGTGAGGTGGCAGAATCCTTGTGGATTCACCTATGACCTGAACATGGTGCATCATACACTTAAAGGACTGTTCTGAGCATACATTGAGATTGACTTTAATAACTGAAGATACAATTGTGGATCCTGACGGCATGCAATACTGGATCAGAAAAGGACAAGATCCCCAGCTTGTCTATTCCACAACAAATTTGGGATGTCTAGAGAAAGCGCTTTGGTACTCTAATCAGGGAAGCTGAACTGTAGCTACAGCATGTTCTTTAGTAGCTCTTTGGTGTTGAATGAATTACTGACTTTGGCCTGATCTGCAGAAAGAGAAAAGGAGTCTAAAATCATCAAAGTGTCCCCCAAATCACTTGGGTTGATGTAGAACTATGCAATTCTTTGATTCTCCCCTAACTACCCAAACCTTTCTTTGACATGTAGCCAAGGAAGTCTGTATTTCTAACTGGATCTTATTTTGCCCCCATTCCCAGTATGGTAGAATATGTTCTAATGAGACACTCCCTAAGGCTATTTTAGACTTTAAACTCTAATTTTATCTAGAGACCTCAAGCGAGGGACACACACATTTTGGGGGAGTTTTCTTTTTATTAATTTTATATTTTCTCAATAACAAATCCTAAAAGTTGTAGACATGTTCATTGCTTTGTTATCTGCTGGTGAGTAGAAGAGAAACATCTATTCTGCCGGAAAAAAAAAGCCTTCTAGTAGGATTTCTAGTTATCCAGCTTTGTCTTATGAGTTGGAATCCAGTTGAAGCCACTTAACTTAGTTCTTCTGTTTTGGGGGGTAGGGGCGGGGTGAAGGAGGGCATTATTCTTAATCTCCCTCTCCACCAAATTTTCCCTTACTCAAACTACCATTTATTTCTCAGATCAGGGATGTCCAGGTTTAGCCCCTCCATAGTGACTTAAAATGCCATGGCTCCTTAATTTCGTAACAACAACATGTTCTCATTCTTCAAATAGGTCATCCACCTGCTATGCAGCATTAATTAAGGAACAGAGCTGACTATCCCTACCTTCTTGATAGCAATCCCTTTATCATTTTCCATCTTAACTCATCAATTATTTCTATCAGATATTATTTAGTGTTCTTTCTATAAGGGAATTCTTTTCACATTGCTACAAAATAATTATAAGGGTTATTGATACAGTTCCTTTTTCAATTATTTTTATACTTTTTCTTCCCTTTAAAAAGGGGTTTTTATCCTCATCCCTGTCTCCAGTGTCATATTTATTTAGTCATACAGATAGCTCTGAAATGAATAGCTATGAGTGACTCTGAAGTGAACAGGTGTGACTCTCATAAACAAGAGCTGGATTTCCCAATGCATGCTTTACCTCTCAATGATGTTCATTCTTCACTTTCACCACTAACTAAATGTGTTCTAAACTGACACTGACTAACCTTTCCCACAAAAATAATGACTAGCACACAACAATGCTTTTCCATCTATGGTCACTTTTAATCAATCTGTTAATTTACTCAGACTAAAACTCTGAAATTCAAGTATGGGTGTTAGCAGGTACTTGGAAAGTCAGGAAAGGAATGAATTGATCATTAATGCCAATTTTGCCATTGTATTATTTTTCTGGGGGTCCTGTGTTATGTTGCAATCACTGAATTTATCTTGTTTACAGATTTCTTACAATAAACAGTTAACTGTTCCCTGTGTCTACAGTCATATCTTAGCCCCACTATCCTCTGATTTTAATATTAGGTTCATCTTTCCAAGGTAAATATTTAATCATGCAACTAACTTATTTTAAAATATCTCACTAAATATCATTAATATATATTATATATTTTTATATATATTATATTTATATATATCCATATATCCTCATTGTATATATATCAGATATGTATCTATGCCTGATATATATATATATGTACATATATATATCAGAAAAAAGAAAATCTATATTTGTCCCCATTCTAAAGACAGGTGACCCAAGAGAATGTGTGGAAATGATCAAACAACACCATGAATATCACATGCAAGTAAACTTTTGCTGAGGATAATTCAACCATGGTTACAGCAGTACACTGACAAAAGATGCCAGAAATTCAAGCCAGGTTCAGAAGAGGTCACGGAACAAGAGGTAGCATTGCTAACATCAGATGGATGTTGGCAGAAAGTAGAAGCAGAGAATACCAGAAAAGTTAAAAAAAAACTTATGTTTTTATTGTCTATGGAAAAGCATTCAACTGTGTGGAAAATATAAAAATTTCGTGGATAACATTGAAAATAATTAGTATTCCAAAACACTTAATTGTGCTCGCAGAACCTAAACAAAGAACAAGTCATTCAAAAAGCTCCAGGGGAAACAATTGTTTAAAAATAGGGAAAGTCTGCCTGAAGGAGGTTTTATCTTTTACCATACTTTTCAATGTGTCCAGTGAGTAAATCAGCCTGGAAACGGACCACGTGAGAACAAACCTGGCATCAGAATTGGAGGGCACTCATGAACCACCTGTGATAAGCAGATGACACAACCTCGCTAACTCTGAAAAGGTCTTCGGATACTTACTGAGGAAGATCAAAGACTACAGCCTCCCTTGTGGCCTGGTGGATTTCACTTCAACGTAGAAACAAACAAAACCCCAAGTCCTCACAACAGCATTATGGTAAACAGAAAATACTGATGTTGTCAGTCATTTCATTTTACTTAAATCCACAAATGAATACCTATGGGAGCAATAGTCAGTAAATCAAACTATGATTTGTGCACATGTGTTGCAAAAGACCCCTTTAAAGTGTTAAGATGAAAAGATGTTACTTTGAAGAGTAAGGTGTATCAGTCCTGCATAGAAAATGTTGCAAATAAGTGTGGGAAACAGAACAGAGATGCGTGTAGGAGGACAAACTCAACATTTATACATTAAGGAGTCTGGGAGGCCAAGGCTCCTGTGGAAGGAACCTACATGTTTGTGGGTTGGAGATGCGTCCCACTCAAATTCTCCAAAGTAAAAGCTATTCCCCAATAATGCCAAATCTAAGGTGCTGTTTGCAATCACACCATCACTGACTATACACTTGGAGGTCAACTGCTTGAAGATTATCTGCTTGAATTAAGTCAGCCATCTAAGGCAATCAGACCCTATCGTCTGACCCACCCTAAGGAGGGCCCACTCCCTTCTGAGAATGATAACAGATTGTTCCCCTGAGTGAGACTTCAAAGACTCTTAAGGTCAAGCCAACACAGGGAAGACCAAGGGTAGGCTGCCATTTTGACTCTAGAGTGAGCCTATCTTGTTATGTGTATGCCTTCCTGTTACATGTGTGACCCTAGTGCAACTCCTTCCTGTTGAGTGTATACACCTTAGCTGGCCCCTCTCCTGTTAATCATGTGCTTATTGTACAGTCCCTTCCTGTTATATGTGTGCTTACTGTGGCCTGCCTGCCCCACATTACATAAATTTGTGGAAGTATATTACTCGCTCTCTCTGTGCTAACCTGGCTCATGAAGTCATGACTGTGAAGGTGATCACTTGCATGCTTTATCCTGTCTGATGTCTCTTTAATTTTACCCCTTGAACCTATTCGATTGTGGGGGCTGGTACTTCACACAAAGGAAGTCAGAAGGATTCATGCACTTGAAATTAAAGTGTTGGTAAAGAATATTGCATCTATTTTGGGCTGCCAGACGAATGAACAAGTACACCCAGATTCTCCTTAGAAACAAGGATGGAGAGACTTTGAATCTTAGACTTTGAACGTGTTATCAGAAATGACAAATCCCTTGAAAAGGACTTCATGCTTAATTACAACAGGTCGACAACAACCAAAAAAGGAAGAAACTTGATAAAAAGAATTGACATAAGGACTGCAGCAACGGGCTCAATCCTGGCGAAGGTTGTGGGAAAGATCCGGGCCTGGGCAGTGTTTTGTCCTATTGAACGTAAAGTTAGTGTGCGTTGGGAAATTAATGCAATGGAAGCTGAAACAAGAGGGTCACTACACATTTTCTGTACACACCTTTGTGATTACAACACTCATATAAGGGATTTTCAATTTTGTCTTATCAAGATAGAAGTTGTGTACCAGATAATTCTCTTTTAAACGCTTTTATTGGGGGGCTAATACAGAGAGCATATTTTTCTGAAGTTCAATCACATCAAGTACTTTTGTACAAATTGCTACCACAATTTGTTCAAAACATTTTCTTCCTTCTTGAACTCCTTGATATCAGTTCCTCTTTACCACCCCCTCCCCCACTGTAACTCCCTGGAAACCTTATTTTGTCTCTATGCTTCATGAATTCTGTTGTAGGGGTTGTAAATTCCTTATGAATTTAGGTTGCTGAACAATATCCCTAGCCTTTATTCAGTAGATGTCAATAACAAACCCTTCCTCTTTCCTCAAGTGTGACCATCCAAAATATTCTGGTTCTATATAATAAGCAAATTATTTTACCTGCAGTTAACATTCTCAATGTCATAGCCCAATATGCACTTCAGGGCTTTTTGCTGGTTTGTTTGTTTCATGCTTTTTATCTCTATATATTTATCCACAAAATATTTTGCTCATTTGTGGGTTGTCCCAAGTACAAGTGCTTTAGTGAAATAATTGGTCCGTAGAGCTTTAAGCATGCTAGCTTTGGAAGCAAATGGATTTAGGTCCAAAACCCTCATATGCTACTTTTTAGGTGTATCCTTGCCTCTCTCATATTTAGTTTTTCATCTAAAAAGAAAAGAAAAAACAGTGAAAGGTATAATGTGGTGAGGATAAAGTATAAGAGATCTAAGTGAGGCTATGCTAAGAGAGTTAAAACAAATTTTAATTTCTTTCCCATTTTCTTCACCAATCTCCCCAG